GGGGAGAGGGGGAGTGTTATCAGGTTCGCTATACAACCACAAGAAACAACATGACAGTGCCGAACAGACGTTTTCGTCGGACTTTCACCGACTCGTTGTAGAAGGTTGAACCTGGCCCAGAAGTCTGGCCCAGGATGTATCTGAGTGATTGATAAGGAGCTGCTCACCACACCGCCCGGAGTTAAAGATACCAACCCTAAGGAGAGAGAGAGATGAGTGGTCGAGTTTTACTCACACCAACACACCTTGCAATGCTACAGTCTTCCCCCGAATACAACGTACGGTCATTATAGCTGAATTTAGACCGAAAGATGCACCGAATTCGGCAATAAGGACCGTGCGTTGTATACGGGGCAAGACTGTAGCGGACTGTCGTTCCAAACCCCTAACAAGAAAAAAACAACAGTAAGTCTGAGAAACTACCGTCTTCACCCAAATAGAACGTCCAGTCATTATCGCTGTATCGAAAGTTGCGCCAAATACAACTACTATAATGACCGAGCGTTCTATTTCGGGGGATGAATGTAGTCTGTGACTACTTACCCTCTCAGCCCATCAAACCCACTACTTACCCTCTCAGCCCATGGAAACCCACTACTTACCCTCTCAGCCCATGGAAACCTACTGGCATTCGCGATCGTACGGCCCCGACCCTACCATATTCACCTGAATTGAATGCCCAGTCATTGTACTTGTATTTGGCGCAACTCTCGGTTCAGATGCAGCGATAATGACCGGGCGTTCTATTCGGGGGGATGAATGTAGTCGCATTGGTCCGCCTCAACGGAGAGTTTAGCAAGGCCGTGTTGAGTGTGCTTGTGTGAGCCGAGACGACGGAAAACAACAACCAATCCTCCCTTACCCCTGCCTCCCCTCCTCCTTCTCCTCCTCCTCCTCCTCCTCCTCCTCCGTGTCTTCTCACACTTCTCTTCTTCCTCCTGGTCCTCCCCTAAAGCAGTCTCCACCCTTAAGTCTCGGGGGATAAATGTAGTCGCTCCACTACACTAGAATTGCGCCTCCTTCACAGCGCAGTCCAACGATCCCCTTAAATCTTTATCCCCCCCCCCCCCCCTTTTTTCTTTTTTCACCCCCTGTAATTATTGATTCTTCGACCCCTTAAATCATATTTTTTCTTTGTCATCAAAAGTGTATGTCTGTATGTGTGCGCGTGTGTGCGTGTGTGTGTGTACATGTGTGCGTGTGTGAGTGCGTGAGTGTGTTTGCAGAGTGGGCGGGAAACAGAAAATCACTACTCGTCACTTCCTTGCCCCCTCTTCTCCTCCTCCCCTTCCTCCTTGTCTTTTTCCGTTACCGTCTTCACTCGAATAGAACGCCCGGTCATTAAAGTTGTATACGGTGCACGTTTCAGTCTAGATACAGTGATGATGACCAGGCGCTCTATTCGGATGAAGACGGTAGTCTCCCTACGGTTCTCCTCATCCACTCCTTCCCGCTCCCCTTTTGCAAATATGCCTGCAGCTGTCATGCAACTTTTCCTTCCCAAAAAAAAAAAAAAAAGGAAGAAATTTTACTTCCCTATCTCATAAGCAACAAGTTCGTGGAGCAGGAGAAGAGAGGAAGGGGCACGAGCACGAGCAGGAGGAGGGGAAGGAGGAGAACGAGAGAATAGAGGATGAGGAGAAGTCATACGAGGAGGATAAGCAGACAGAGGAGGAGGAGGAGGAGGAGAAGGAAACGATAAAGAGGAGGAGGAAGAGGAAGAGAAGAAGGAAGAGGGGGAGAAAAGGAGAAAGAGGAAGAGGAAGAGGAAGAGGAAGAGGAAAGAGAGGAGCAGCAAGAGGAGGAGGAGGAGGAGGAGGCGGAGGAGGAGGAGGAGGACAAGAGAAAGTGGAAGAGAACACGAAAGTGCAGGACGAGGAAAGGAGAAAGAGGAAGTGAAGAAGAGAGAAGAGCAGGCCACGGAAGCGGAGAAGAAAGTGAGGTGACAAGAGTATAGGACGGAGACGGACGATATTGGGAGAGAGTAGGCGTAGGACAATGGGAGAGGAAGCAGCAAAGACAATGCAAGAGATGATCTTACAGGCACAATGGCTGCTCACGTGCCGCCTATGGAGCGTAAATCACGCACAGGGATGCACCCAAGAGAGTGAATTGCTGGCCGGTTGCCACGTGTCCAAAGCCTACTGCAGCGTCACACAATGCGCCAATCAATCNTCACGCACAGGGATGCACCCAAGAGAGTGAATTGCTGGCCGGTTGCCACGTGTCCAAAGCCTACTGCAGCGTCACACAATGCGCCAATCAATCACGTGGCGCAGCAACTCTCCTCGACCACGTGGAGCGGCACCTCTCCTCGACCACGTGGCCCGGCGCCTGTCCTCTGCCACGTGGCGCAGCACTTGTCCTGCCTTCTCAGTATTACCCCCCTCGCATCACCCCACCCCTCCCCTCCCCTCAGTGCTCTCACCGCCTCTCTGACCGACGGTGAACCGGTGCGACGGTCTCCCGAGCCCGAACAGAGACGAGTTCGAAGGGTACCGGCCCTGACTGACGAGCGCACTTTCGTCTCGTCGGCGTCCCCCACTGCGCACAAGTGGCGAAATGGTACACACAAAAAAAAAAAAAAAAAAAAGGGAGTAGAAGAAGGTACACAAAGGGCCTCGCTGCACTACTCTCTTTTTTTTTGTTTTTTTTTGTGGCCTCCAGACTACGGGCCTCGTTCGACACCACTCGAAACTCAAGGATTTTTGGTCAAGCGTCGTTCCACAACACCCTAATGACGACGATTTTGGAGATGGAAATGTTTTCACATTTGCCATCTCAAGGGTCTGCCCTTGAAACTCAAGTGCGTCCCAGCCAAAATGAAAAAAAACTGAAGGGCGCCTCGGGAAGTCACTTGAAACTCAAGGGTTCCGTCCTTCCCCTACGCGCAATAGACGGAATTTTTTCGTTTTGTGTTCGCAGCCCGTCAGGGATGCGTTTCTCCCCCCTGAGACATTCAACGTTCAACGTCGGTGGTCGTCGGGAGGGTGGGCATTTGAGGTTTTGGGGCCTTGCAAGGGCCAGGAACGCGTAGGACCGGTAGCTGCCGCAGTGCTTTTTCGAAATTGAAACGGTGCGGGTAGTCCTTTTTCAAAATTGAAACGGTGCAGGTCCTACATGTTGTATTCGAATACAATCTGTACCCTTTCTATTCGGATTT